CGGACGGGAGGGCTGCGCCCCGCGGGGCTGAGGGAGGAAGATGGCGGCGTGGCCCGCGCAGAGCGGTTACAGCTGCGTGCCCAAAGGCGGACAAAGACCTACAATTAAAACCCGTTTGGGGGCTGAAAAGTCGGAATTCCATTTCTATTCCGTTGTGTCGTGCTAGTCTGTGCCCCGTGGTCGAGCACTGAGTGGCAGATGAGTTGTTTTACTCAGCAGCTGCCCAGGCTGCTCAGATTTGTCTCTGGTCGCACCATTCTGCCTGTGGCCTGGTTAGTAGCACTGTGCTGTGCTGCGCTGCGCTGCGCTGCCTCCCAGCCAGCCTGCCAGCCATGGAGGCAGCGCTTACAGCAGAGCTGCAACTTCCCAAAAACTTTTCCTCTGAGAAGTCCCCAAGGCCTTGTGTTTCTGCTGAAAGGGAATTGGGATTGTGAAAGAAATGAGGACTGTTGAAATAAAGTGGTTTAGAATGGATCTTATAAACTGGCATGTAATTTTAGCGTCTGTCATCTCCTTCTGATAGTATAGTTAAATGATTTCTTAATTTCTTTTATATTACTTTTATCTCCTAACTTCCCTCAAGTCTCCAATTGGCCACCAGTGGCACGAGAGAGTGTCTGTGTTCCGGAGTGGAGAGCACGATGTGCCCTGCGGGGAGGGATGGCTGCCGTGTCTCATAGCTGTCCTGGGAGAGGGCTGAAAAGAGAATGGAAACGAAATTATGACCGAACGTAAGAAGGGAAGAGAACTGAGCAAGGAGTGGCCATGGGACTGGGATGTGGTGGTGGTGTACTCTAAGTTGACTGGCCCAAAGCAACTGTACCTTGGATGTAAAGGCAATCACCTCACTTCACTATGGTGCATTGAGCTCGTTTTGCTGCAGCTGTTAGGGGAAACAATTATAAGGCTCTTTGTTGAGTGAGAGCTGAAATGTTCATAATGTCTGGCTAGAGACAAAACTAATTGCAGACACAGGAACTGGGAATTGATTTGAATGGTCGCTGTGAAAATGAGTCAGCTAGAATAAGGTGGAAAACAAGGAAAAAGTCAAAAAAGCACTTAAAATGTAACCCTAATATAAGCAATGAAATACCTCCTGCTATGTCCCAAGAGACAGGACTCTGTGTATTCACTGTGCAAAGAAAGAGAAGAAAAGAATCCCCAAATTTATTACATAACTTCTTTTGTAATGTAAAAAAGCCTCAGGATCATTACAAATATTTGCTAAATATTTGAGCTAAAACCAGACAGTGAGGATACCAATGCAACACAGAAACACATAATGTTAACAGGCATATTCTAAATCTCTAAGCGAGCAAGCATGGAAGGGAGATGCAAGAAAGCAATATAAATGAGGATAAAAGTGATGAAAATTTGAAAGATTAGAAGAAAGAAATATTTGAGGACACTTGAGAATACAAAGCATACCAGAAAATAAATGGTAAAAATAGGAAAGAAAGTGTGTAGAACTATGGGGAAATGGTTCTTCACAAGGACATAATATCCCCATCAGCATGTTCCAGAAGCTAATGATGGAAATTGAAACACAGGAAGCTCTATCTCCATGTGAGGAAGAACTTTTTTTTCCTGTGAGGGTGACAGAGCCCTGAACAGGCTGCCCAGAGAGGCTGTGGAGTCTCCTTCTCTGGAGATCTTCCAAACCTGCCTGGCTGCCACCCTGTGCCATGTGCTCTAGGTGTCCCTGCTGGAGCAGGAGGTTGGAATGGATGATATCTAGAGGTCCCTTCCAACCTCAACCATCCTGTGATTCTGTGAATCAGGCATAGGAAAAAAAAATGCACTAAAAACTATGATGTGTTTTAAGTGAAAAACTGAGACTGAGGTCTTAGAGAAGTTTCACAGGACATGAAAATATCTGCATCTGGTTTGTTTTAGAACAAGAACACACTTTGAAATGCTCCAGATTTTGAACACTGACGGATGAGTGAGCAGTCCAGTCCTTTGAACCCCTTAAGGCAGGCTCAGCAGTGTTCTTGGTGGTCATGGGGAAGTCTCCCATCGGGACTCAGGGTTCAGACACTGCTCTGACTTTTCTAAACTGTTTTGAAACCTACCAAAGAGCATCAAGTAATGGAAATACCAAGCCCCAGGGAAAATACTGACAAGGTTGTGATTAAGTTAATTGTATTAAATGTGATTTGAATACAATTGGTCACATCTGCACCTGGAGTATAGAAATAAGCTCTGATCTTAGTAGTAATACTTATTTTCTTTTGTGTTTCAGTATTTTGAATACTTATTTTCTCTTTTGTGTATGAGTATTTTGCGAAATACTTTGAGAAAAGATGAAATCTAAAACAAGTAATCTCATTTATATGACAATGGCTGCTTGTGTAGGTTAGAATTACAAGACTCAGACCTTGACTTTGCCAGGGACTGCTTACCTGTACACAAGGGACAGTTGATGGTGAAAGGCTTTATTTGATTTTTCCAGTATTTTCCAAATATTCCTGAAAGGATCCAAAAGCCAGCCCCTCGACCTCCATCTTGCATGCTTTTGTAGTAAATGTTGCCTAAACTGTGCTTTGTTTGTTTGTTTGTTTTCTACAGAAGTTAAAAATCTTTAAGGAAAAGAAAGCTGTCCTCTTCTCAGTGTGACAAACTTCAGAAAGTTAGAAAAGCACAAGGAATACCATGCTGGTGTAGAAAGGCTTTTGGAGAATATCTTTCTATTTGATGCTCTTAGATGCAGCATAAATGTGAAAAAATGCTGCAGGTAAGAGTACAGTCACCAATTGCGATGTCCAGAACACCTGAAGTGTAGCAGAGACAGTTTTTCCAGATCTGGGACAGCTAAAGCTGGAATATAGTACAAGTTGATTTTTTAATTATATTTAAAATGTAGAAACACTTCGGTGACACAGTAACTGTAAAAAATCACTGTTATGTTTTAATTTGAAAAGCTCAATTGCTTTCTGAAAGATGCTGATAGTTGTTAGAAAGGCTGGAAAGCACAACCCTGTATTTTTTCTCAGATATACAGTTATTAAAAAGAAAGTAGTAATAATCTCAATCAATTATTACTTTTTATGAGGAAAAAGTACATTGATTTTTGCTGATTATTTTCTTAATATTGAATTTGTACAATTAAAAAAAGAGGGAGAGAATTACCTGAGGAATGATAGACCTTACCTAGTGGTAACAGAAAAGATTAACCTCCCTCTTGCCTGTGTCATAGCTGAAATGCAATGCCACACTTCCACAAGCATCAAAGCACAAAGCACCAAGGCAAAGCATATAAACTGAGTCAAATAAAAGAGTGTGGAACCAGCCAATCACTGCTGGTGGCCTAAGCTGCAGATCACAGGGATATTTGACAAGAAATCAGAAATGTTGGAGGCCTAGTCTTTTTTTCATTATCCAAAATACTTATTTTATTCCACTTGTTTTAAAAAGAAGGGAGGTATATACCTTTGAAGGCTGGAGCAGATCTCTCACAATGATGGCTTAGAACACTCTGTTGTTCCTACTAATTTTAGATAAACATTATTTTATTCAGCATTTAGCAGTTAATCTGTTTAGCCACCTTTATCTGTATTCTGCCATTACCAGAGGAAGCTGGATCCTTTGAGCAAAAGGATCATTATGTTATTCTATTCATTTACTTGACATAAAGTAACAGCAGAATAATGACCACCACACCATCATCAAACCTAATGATATTCCTGAAAATTAAATTCCACCTTCTCCAAATGGGACATTTCTAGCATCCGGGCTGGTTTGCGTGCGTGTGCCCTCCTGGCTTGGTAGCACCGCTGTCGGGTGGTCTGTTTGCAAAGCCCTAAATTGCTCCCTGCCAGAAGCACAGAGCAGTCTGGAGCCGTGCAGAGCGGAGCAGGAGGGCAGGTGGGGACGCTTTGCTGCCCGAGGAGAAGCACCAAGTCTCAGCTCCGTGTGGCTCCTGGCTCAGTGGTGTGAGTTATCCTTATTGGTATGACATTACGAATTTTCAGCACTGTATATGCACAGAAGACTTCAGAAGAGCTATACATGCAAGCATATACATGTCCTCAACTCTTATGGTAAACAGAGACATAGTACACAGTGAAACGCTGGAGCGTACCACAACTGCATTAATTTTGAAACTAGTGTGAGCTTTACAAGAAGATGGGGAGTGGAAGGTGTGGAGATTGAAAAGCAAATGAAGAGAAGAATAAACTTATTGTTCTTGCTCATATACAAGAGCTTATTTGGCATTTTGAGTAGGATTAAAAAAAAAAAAACCCAACAGCCAAACCGAAAGAGCTACATTTACTTTTTCCAAAATCATGAGACAACCTCCTTCACAACTGGCTGCAATGTGACTTCAAGCTGAGAGTCTTCATTATAGAGTCACACACTCTATAATGTATGTAAATATGCATAGAAATATAGGCATAGGAGGGTGAAGATGAAAGTGGAGCATCGTTTTTTGTGTAGATCTTATATCTGCGATGACCAGTAGAACATACTACAAAAGCTACATAATTAGAATAACTCCTGTAAGGCATCAGAATGTTCTTTGTCTACAAAGATTTTGTCTACACTCAGTATCTACTTAAGTATCTGTGCACCAAATAGATTACAAGGACTGTGAAAAGCACATCAACATGTGTCATTTACTACAGCTCCTTCTTCAGATAGTTAATTAGATGTCTTGGGTGATTGTAAAGGGTGTTGTAGCAGTAAGTTGTGGCAAGAGTTTTAACATTTTGAATACAACCTGGTACTCCACTGCCTGTTGGAAATGCTAATGCTTACATATACTGAATGGACTAAAAGATATCTTGCAGTGATATCTTACAGTGATACGTGATATGCAGTAAAATACTGTCCTTTGTGAAGATATGACTAACTATCCTTTAATTAAAAAAAATGTAATTAGCACTATTTTTTTTGCTTGTTATTTATTTATTTATTCTGGTCATAATATATGTAGAGCTTAATTATCATCCAAAAGCATTTTTAATGTTCTCCCAATACTATGAAATTACCAAAGTAGCTTAGCATGCTGAACTCATTTGTAGTATCAGTAGTCCTTAATGATTTAAACCTTTTAAAATATGAGTTACTATTGAAAGACCTTTTTTCAAAGTACTTCCAAAAAATACCCATATTGGTATTTCTTACGAGCTCTTTAAGGAGAAATATTTGAAAGGCTGCTATGGGAAAGCTTAAAATTTCTTTATTTCTAACCTAAGATACATATTTCTGTTTTATTATTGTTATACTTGATGTATGATAATCATTATTTTTCATTTTTCCATTCACATTTACCTACAATGATCAGTAAGGTTAGTTCTGAAGTATTTGCTTTCTTTAATGGATTTGATTTCTGTAAATAGAAGCTGTATTTTAGGACGTATTTGGAGTAGAAAGCTTATGTGGGGCTAACAACTCCTTATCTGACTGAATCCTATCTAAGACCGTCAAATTGTTCTTTTTTTAGTAACATGGAAATGTTAGTGTTCATCTTGTGATAAAGATGCTAAGAAAAGAGTTAGCTGGCAATGTTCTGCTTTAGTTTTTGGAACATATAAGGAATACAGATGAATTTAAATAAGAATTGAATTCTGGAGAGGTTGTCATAAGGACCTGCTATGTAGCCCACTGGCAGTGCTCAAGACCTGCTGATCATCATGGAAGGTTCCCTGATAAAAATGTCAGTTTCTCAGAAATAGGTTCAAATGAGCTAAAACACAGAAATGTTATGTGAGCTAAAACACAGAAAGCCCTTTATCTCTGCACCGTGCAGAACCTAAACCCAGTGTTGTCTCTCTTGTCCTGATGTTCAATAATGTGTTTCACGACACCACACTAAGGGAATAATGACTTTAGATGGTAATAGAATAAGATGTTGCTGTGCAGTCTTTCTGAATGCAGTCTACTAAGACAACTCCAACTTTCCAAGCAATTCTTCAGGGCTTTCTTAACAGAAAATCATTATTTGCTTTGCATTTGAAGAAATGACTGTTTGTTGGTTGTCTATTGTGCACAAATAGGATAGAAGATATTGGTACCACACTTGTGTCTAAGTGAGTCCTAAGCCCAGCTTTTATCTCATGACTGCAGGATCAGTAAAGTGCCATTTAGCGTTTTAATTAGTTTAAGTCTTACTGTATAATCACGGTGAAATAAACAGAAGTTAAACAAATGCATAAGGATGTACTTGGGCTTGGACTTTTGCTGAATAGACATGGAATATCTGTTTAACATTAAGAATGCATTTAAGTAGCCACATCTAGTTTGAAAATAAGCTGATGTCGCCAAGATAAGTTTCTGTAAGTCTAAAGAGAGTGTGCATGCCTAAGTCTTGGAGAGCGGCTGCTCATGTCAGCTCTCCACTTGACCTAGCCCTGGAGGCAGCTGGGTTTCCATTTTGGTTGGCAGAGTTCCCTGCAAGTCAAAGCTCAGGCACTCCCAGAGGTCACTGCTGGCTGCAGATTGGTGCCTAATTCCCAAGTAACCTCCAGTGCAATTCAGGACTGAGGTGGCAATTGCCTCACCTTTGACTAGGGCTGTTGAAACTGCTTCCTCAGTCCGTTTTGGTCACCTGCTTGTTTATGTCTAGCACAAAGAGGAGCAGGTAGGGGCACGATTTTCAGAGATTGTGTCTAGATGCAAAGGTGAGAGAAGGATGGATAAAAGATCTGACTCACACGGTTATGGTCTCAACCATGGCACTCAGTCTGGGGAAATGTGTGTTCATACTTCACCTTTTTTTCATCATAGTGTTAAAAAAGGTGTGTAATGTAAAATGAATATTTTGAAGGAAAAAAAAAAGTTGAGTTCACTGTGGCAAGGGATAAAGACTGTGTTAAACACATCAGACGTCTTTAAGTAATTTCTTAGAACTTGTTCCTGTGCAGCCACAGTTAAACTCAACGCTGCACTTTTGAACCACCTAATCTGATAACTCATGTTATTTGTAATACTCTTGAAAAAAATCCACAATAGTTCTTCTTTCCATGGTAGCTCTTTTTGCATATTTTTCCCCACTGCATCCACTGGCATTGTCTATTAGATGATTAGTTTTCAGTGCTATTGTACTAGTGCAAATGTCTTAGAGGTTTTGTTTTTAAATGTCTAACCTTAGAGTCCTTAAAGTCTGGCCTTAGACATGTAACTTTAAAGGTTAGAGGCTTTCTAGCACAAAATGTTTCATATCTGGGATAGAGAGCCCATGTCTCCTTGTTTCTTTTTAAGGCACGACTCACATCAGGCTTTTGAACACACACAGTCATTTCCAATGACTGTATTTGAATAGATACAGAGATCTCTCATTCAGTTTTCAAGCTTGAACACTTAATTACAAGTGACTGTAGGTTTTCTGAATTTTCTTTTTTTCCTTTTTTTTTTTTTTTCTGTGACAGATATGCTTGGATCTTCATGGGATTGCATAAAGTTTATTGTGACGTGCAAATCTCCAAGCCTTGGAATCAGCTAATGCACAGCTGTGCACAAAGGCACAGGAGAGGAGCCCTCGTCCCTGTTGGAAGCAGCTCTCAGCAGAGGGCGTTTGTGAGATGTGTGACGTTACTCATTCCTGCACAGACTGATTTTGCATCTCTACGTTTGGGAATTACTGATGAGGTACATTTACCTCCCACGATTACAAGCAGACAGAGTCCCTGCCCGGAGATGCTCCCCCTGCGCTGGCTGATTTCATGTTATGCAGCTTCTTTCTCACTAGTGAGGAATACCTGTCGCTATCTCTCCCTCCTTTGCTCCTGTGCTGAATATTGCGTCACAGCTGCATGATGAGATTGTCCCTAGACTATAATCTGAAATAACATTCAAGGAGATGGATGCACTCTTTTGTTTGAAAAGTACATGATGAACAATTTGTCTGCAAGGATTTGAATTCCGGCTGTTTTATGTCAGGGTCTGTGGATCTTTTACCTCTGCTTTTCCCCTCTGCAGGAAATTATATTCATGCTGGTTAAGTATATTCCCCTGTCTTTTCACAGACATCCGTTGAATGACATCAGAAGCATAATCTAACTTTCTGTTTCCTTTGAGCTGGAGGCACTCACAGGCTTTAAAGCTTATTTCCTTGCCATTCAGAGTTTTGAAAATGCACAGTAGGTAAAATGAAGTGCTGGTGAAATTCAGGAATGTAAGTTCCAACTTAATACATTTCTATTTCCTCTAGCTTGGAAATTCCATCTTTCACTCTAAAGAACAGGTATAATTTGCTAGGATATCAATTGTCCTGGAGGAACAGGAATTTTGGAGTGCTACAAAAAATAAGGGGTCTATCCGCTTCTCCCCACACAAAATGAAGTTTATTCAAATAAAAGCTTTTAAAATGTTCTGTCAATATTTCTGCAAGAAGACTCAGCTTTTTGATCTCCCAACTAAATCAATATTTAAAGAGATGTTGCCTGTAAACTATTCACCCAGTGGGAATCCTATTTATTGACACAAATCCATTTTCAAATAAATAACTGAAAGGATCACAGTTCATATACTGGGCTGACATGGTTAAAGCCACATATTGTTCTAACTGGAGGGAACTAAACAGAATGACTGGTATATTTTTGTAGGAACCTTAATATCAGTGGTCTCAAAAAAAAATGCATTCAGTGAAGTAGAGGATACCAACAATTCTGAAAATCGAAAGTGTAGGTGGCTCAGGGAGAGGTAGCTGAGTTTAATATAAGGCAGAGGAAAACATCTTCAGCTTTGTGTGAATTCCTATCAGCTGCCAAGTAGTAAATGTTAAGACCGGCACTGTGTTCCCAGTGGGATTTCCAGGGTTTTCTAATAAACTAGTTATCATCATAGGAATCAGTAATTTACATAACTGCAGTGAAATATATATGGAGGAAAGTGAGAAGAGTCAAAAAAATCAAACAACAGATTCACAGAAATGTGACTTTTAAGAAGTAGTAGTACTCTTTATTTAATAATCTTAGGACTATGAGAGGTAATTTAAGATAAAACATTGATGTCTTAAGTTCAATTCCTCTACTAGATAGCAGGCTGTGGACAAGTTATGTTACACATATATTACACACTTTGCCCCTGGCACTTTAATCCACATAAGCTTGTCCTTCATGTCTTCATTTTTGTTTCCATGCACTGTCATATGCCCATAGAGCTTCAAGGTTTAAATAACATGAATGAGCAAGTTCACTGCAAGTTCCTACATACTTCTTTTTGGGAAAAGGAAGGAAAAAATATCCTAAAAACAATAACAATGTTTCCGACAAATGCTGCTGTTCTTCTGCTTTAGCTCTTTGTATTGAAAATATGAATCCCTTAGATTTGCCCCTTTTCTGGCATATTTTTCTGGAACCTGGATTCATGGATTCTGATGGAAACAGATCGGACCATTTGAGAAGCAAAGATATGTTCAGACACTAGGAAGAAAAAAAAGAAAGAAGAGAAGAGAAAAAAGAAAAGAGAAGAGAAGAGAAGAGAAGAGAAGAGAAGAGAAGAGAAGAGAAGAGAAGAGAAGAGAAGAGAAGAGAGAAGAGAAGAGAAGAGAAGGAAGGAAGGAAGGAAGGAAAGAAAGAAAAAGAGAAAAGCAGGGAAAGAAAAAGAGAAAGAAGGAGGGAAAGAAAAAGAGAAGGAAAGAGAAAGAGAGAAAGAGAGAAAGAGAGAAAGAGAGAAAGAGAGAAAGAGAGAAAGAGAGAAAGAGAGAAAGAGAGAAAGAGAGAAAGAGAGAAAGAGAGAAAGAGAGAAAGAGAGAAAGAGAGAAAGAGAGAAAGAGAGAAAGAGAGAAAGAGAGAAAGAGAGAAAGAGAGAAAGAGAGAAAGAGAGAAAGAGAGAAAGAGAGAAAGAGAGAAAGAGAGAAAGAGAAAGAGAGAGAGAGAGAAAGAAAGAAAGAAAGAAAGAAAAAGAGGGAAAGAAAGAAGGAAGGAAGGAAAGAAAGAAAGACCCTGCTACCTCATGGAAAAGAAAAAGACTCTGTGGACAAGTGTTACACTTGGAAGAGACAAGCAATGTTTAACGTCCGTTTACATTTACCATTCGCGTAGTAAAGCATGGATAAATTGCACAGCCTATCCCCATTTCCATAGTAGAGACTAGTGCTAGACTTAACTTTACAAATCAAACCCTAAAAGTCTAGGGCAGCGAGTGTCTTTGAGCAGGACCTATTCAGAACAAACAGCCGGGCGAGAGAAACTAAATCCTTTCAGCCCCTACTCTGTCTCTACAAATCACCCTGTGTTTCAAGTGCTTTCAGAAGGTAAAACTGAGAAGATCCGTGCCTGGAAAAGACGTTTTCCCGAGGCAACCCCACTCGCCGCTGGACGCTGTGGTCCACTCTGCAGTTTTACAGCAGCTCTCCTGGGCGCTGGTAGCGGTGGGGACGCGGGCTCCGGAGGCTCCTCGCCCGCCGTCCCTTCCTCAAGGGGGAGAGGGCGGCTCCACAGCCGGCCTCTCGGGGCCGGATGATCGCATCCTCCTTGCGCTGCAGGAGGCTGGGAGGGCT